CTAATACACAAAATAAATACATGCACATTAAAAAACCAAAAAAATTTACACTATTACATTGAAACACAAACACACTAATACACCATATACATAAACATTGACACACACTATGCTAACACTCACAAACACATACACAAACAATACACTCACTAACACACCAAAGAAATGCACGCATACTAATACACCAAAAAAATACACATTAATACACCGAAACACACACACTAATACACCATATACATAAACACTGACACACACTATGCTAACACTCACTAATACGCCAAAAAAAATACACTAATACACCAACAAAATAAACACAATAAAACACATGCACAATTATACAAACACAAACGCACGCACGCACGCACTAACACATAAACACCACACACTAATACACCAAAAAAAACACATACTAAAACACACTCTGTTCGGACACACGCTAACACACTTAAAAAAACACACTCATTCACTAAAGCACCAATGAAACACGGACACACTAATACAAAAAACAAACACACACAAACTAATCATTGTGCAAAATTAGGGTTTATTAAATTTTATAGTATAGGTCACTAATCAAAGTCTCACTTCACAAGGAAGGTGCAAACCCACATATTACACATTTAGGTTCACTAGGATTCGTCAGAAATGCGCAAAGCACCTACGATTTGGTGTGTGTATTAACATTGTGTGTTTTGGGATATTAGTATGTGTACGTGTTCGTACATATACTATGATGTGTCAGTGTGTGTTAACAATGTGTGTGTAACTATTGCATGCCAGGTTGGGTGTATTAGTGTATGTACATCCTTTTTTCATAACTTCTATATTTAACGATCATCTAGAGTACGACAATTAAATCAAGTTTTTTACTAACAGAGAAACCTTTCAACCATTGCTACAATTATTAAAAAATACATCATCAATATTTATAAATAAAAGCTAGAACACCTGCTCAAAAATATCCAAAAGCAATAGATAGTCATGTAGGCATCCAAGAAGCAAACCTGTTTGCCGTTCAAAAGTATGTATACAATTGTGTCACTTGAACCAGGATTGCCATTGACTAAATCACCATCGTTCATCATATCCCAAGCAACATCGCGTAGGATCTTCCAACTTTCACATCAATTTTTTTTTTTCTGATATGATAACTACATGATATCTTAAGCAAATGATGGAGATCAGAGATGATAATTAAGAACTTTAAGGTTCATGACAAAAATGAGAAGAAAAAGAAAAGACTACACTAATAGAATTATACCTTCAAATCAATAACATACAATACTCCAACAAAATTCTCCACTTGTCACAAGCAAACCTCAAAGGTAAAAGTGTAACTGAGCTTCCCAAATTTCAATAGGTTGACCTTTCCTCCCGCATCTCAAGGTACAACACTCAATAGAAAATATTATACATTGAATCATATCAGAAAAATGACACAAAAATTTATGAAATTAAATATCGGAAGCAAGTAATTGGCAGTAGAGTATTTGTATGCCTTGAATGATGAATTGTAGAAAAACTAAAGCACAAACATGTAGACAAAAGAGACTCATAAAGGAACACTTTCAGCTTCAATAGTACCAAATTAAATTAGGTTCAACCTTTGGGACCATTACCTACGCAGAGCACTATTATATCAATTCAAAAGTTAGTATTCCAGAAAAAAATCAAAACAATGCAATAGTCATTCCATCATAAAACAAAACAAAAGATCAAGACCTAGGTACTTGGAGTTCTCTCTCTCATCAAGTTGAGACTTCTCCAAATGGATTAGTAGAAGTCCTTTGATTTGTCTTGGATTAGTAGAAGTCCTTTGATTAGTAGAAATATTAGAATTAAGGTCAAAATCGCCTTACTGCATAAGATCATAATAGAAGATGTGCATGCCAAATTCTGAAAATTTTAATTTTTTGCTACCATGTGAAAGTGATTGCAACTTTAGATTTTTTTACGTTTGTGGGAGTAGTTCATTCCAGAAAAGGCCAATAATTTGTTAGCACACAATAAATCGTTTCCCAAGAATATACTCATATATACAAAAAAATAGGTATATCCCCACATTGTGATCCTAGTAAAAGTAACTTAAAGATCTAATGAAATCATCAGAAGTTATAGATTAGTAAATTCAAAAGGAATACGAATCTTAGATCTAGCAAGAACTACGAGCTGATTTAATATTATATCATATTGGATCAAACTCAAATATAAAAGGGCTCAAGTTGTATGCAATCACGCCACACGTCAATAATAACCTGCGACAGATTCCCACTTTCCATCACAAGAAACTCCCAAGGAAAGATAGATAATTGACATATTTAAAAATATATAAATACAAAAATCAGTTGAATAGATCGATAAAAACGAAAGCGCGGTTGACAGCACAATCGACACTAGGCAAAGTCGACCTCCGTCAATCAAAAAGAAAGATGCTCTCATTAGGATTATATATATATATGTAGAGAGAGAGAGAGAGAGAGAAAGGAAGAAATTGATGCAAAGAAAAAGAATGATTAGTTGTTTTCATATATAAAAATTAGCAATTGCCTGTCCGTGAAGGCACTATATAACTAGAAAAAAAAATCATTAAGAAAATTGAAAATTCATTTGAAAAAATTAAACATCCGCAATGCCTAAAGTATGGATGACAATCAAACCATATTGTATTATCTTGATTCATCATGTCAAAAATCTCTCAACCCTAACATGAACTATCTAGTTAATCATGTCAAAATGATCTAAGATGAATACAATTCGCTTATAACACCAATAATCAAAGCATGACCCGTGTAACACACTTAATAAACAAATTGTATTCAAGTTGACACGACCCGCTACCAACGTGATCAACATGTTTAGAACAAGGATCATGATTGGGCTGTGACGGCCCCCCATAAAACAATCAACATGACCTATCTAACTTGTTTAAGTATCTACAATCTATCAAACTCAAATAAATCCTCATTTTTAATACAAATCATTTATTCATCCACAATTACATCTATGAAAATTATTAAATTAAAAGTAAAATATATGCTTAAACCATCTCATCCAACAGATGAAAGAAGACTGACCCAAAAAAAAAGATATATGGCATGAATTCCACAAATAGATCACTAGCAAAGAAGTATGACCAGTTATAGTACATGTAGAGAGACATCATGAATTCTAGAATTGTGTCATAAATAAACAAAAAATTTAAGATGACCATAACCTGTGATTGGCAGCAACTAAGTTGTCACAGTAGTGAAGGATGTTCCACATTGTTTTCAAGGAGCCACAGACCTACAGTCCCAAAATACAGTTATTGAATACTTCGCTGAGCACTTTGACAGAAGCATCTTTGGTCTCTTTGAAACTTTCTTTGGGCACCAAGAATTCTGAGATTGTTTTTTAAATACTCCAGTCTCGTTCAAATCACACCCACTTACGCAAACTTCATTCAAATAGACAAATCTAACTCACACAAATCAAACCTTGAATTCGAAGACAATCATCACGCATCGGTGAAGTCATCAACATGGTCGTTGGGTAATTAACAAAAATTGAATTACTGACTTTGTAGAGTAATTGACAAAAAATTTAATTACCAGTTCGTTGTAACCAATTGTGGAATATCAAACCAAAGAAATCGCAAACCCTGTGAATTGAATTAAGAAACAAAAACCTCACAATCAAATACCTGCTATGAAATTAAAAACCCTTTCCTAATGCCCTTAGTAAATGAGAGAGTTCTCTTGTTTGTTTCGTCATGTATACCAACATGATTCCATCACCGAAGTAGACATGTAATACATGCAAAAATAACAGTAAAGCAAAAAACGAAGATTGTATTACCTTTAAGCAGATCTGATGTGGTGCGCAAGTTTCTCCTTCTTGTTTCATGACCTCAGATATTTGTTTTCATCATGTATACCAACTTGATTCCACACTGAAGCAGTGACACAATACACATAACTACATAAGTGTTGTTTTTCATTAAAAAAATATATAAAAACTAGGCAGCGACATAAAGTAACAGGGTTATAGCATCGAGTAGCTCTAATGTTCATTGTTCTATTGAAATGATTAATTATTTTCCTTGAAACCAATCCTAATCGAAGCATAAAGTGATTGAGACCATAGAATCCTAAATAATCTCATGATCTGAAACTATATGCCACACCTCAGGTTTTTTTTTTAAATCCTAACCAATCAAAACAGGATTTCATAATTCAAAAACATAATTTCAAATCAAACATTTAGATCTCAATAAATGAATTCAAACACCGAATTTAAATTTGCAGCTGATCAAAAAAATCTCACATGACAACTGAAATACATCCATAAACACCTATATATAGAGAGAGACACATACAGAAAATATAAGGAAATCCCTAACCAAAAAGTATGACTAACAATTCAAATCAAGAGAATTTGGTAGTAATCTCTTGAATTAACACCAAACATATGATAAAAATTCATTTAAGAAACAATGCAGTGGAATCCAACAGAAAAAGGCACCAGCAACAATGAAGTAGAATCCTATATAGAATCGTTCATGAAAACCAATCACTAAAACATTTAGAAGAAAAAAGGGTAAAAAGGCACCAGCAACAATGTTTAAAACATCACAACAATACCATCTGCCAAGAAATTGAAATTGGGTTTTTAGTAGAATAGGTAAAGCACTACCATTAATGTGAAATTAAAAGTTCCATAATTCCATTAGGAGACAGACTTAAGAATTTTGAGGCCAACAAAAACAGGGGCCTTTCTAATATATCTTTCTTTATTTGTTTCACCAATAACCATGAAAAAATAAGGTAGTTTTTGTATTTTTTTTCTGGCATTTTACACCTACAGGCAAAATAAGTGTTATAGTTGAGGAGTTTATCTTTACATTCCATTGGCAAAATTACTAAACATGGTGTCTACACAAAAGAAAAAACAAATCCAAAGTTTCCATGAGATTAAACAAATTACCATAGCCAATACTAGGTCAAGCCAACTCACAACGGTCAACATTCGGTAATCAAAACTAAATTGTAGTGATTTGGAATTCCATGATGCATCAAATTGGAAAGGCTTGGATTTGGAATTTCCAACTGCAAGCAAACAAAACCAAGGGACATAACTTAATAGAGATATAACAATCAGCAATGTGAAAGCTTCCCAGCTTTATCGAAAAGTACAATCATACAATCACAAATATTGCAAATATTAAAGATCCATTGATGCTATTATGTGAAAGATCATGAAAGCACATCTGATATAAGTAGGTAGTTTCCAAATAAACTATGGAAAGAAGTTACCTTCCTATATCAGTAATTTGAGCAAGGAGAACTCTTTATTTGAGACATTTCGAAAAACAGTTTATGCACATACAAAGAGAATGTGGATGGTGACCGGGGTGGAGGAAATTGGCAAATAGAGAGGCAAGGGGATGAGTAGACGGTGAGGGAGGGAGAGATACCTGTTGCCATGGCAGTTGCCGACAGGCGTCACCGGCGCTGGCTGTCATTGGCTTCGTTGCGGTCGTTAACACATAAAAACCGAAGCTTTCCAACGACCAATACCACACACCCCCTCTGTGAGTCTGTAAGGTTTGTTTTTCACCCACTAAGACACATCAATACTTACCAAATAAAACATATACAAAACCTAAATTCACACTGTAATATCAAAATTTTGGATGCAAGCACACTTGTATATTTTTTTTGAAGCAAAAAATAAAACAGGCAACATACCACAAAAAAAATGAATCCCAAAATTGAAAAAACTTAAAACAGCAATTGCTGTGGATATGTGCGAGTGTATGTGCTGTGGGTTGTGTATGAGTGTTGCAGAGAGGTGAGAGAGAGAAAGAGGGAAATGGGTTTGTGTGTGTGCATGTGTTGGAGGCAAGTGAGAGAAGGGTGTCGAAGAGGAGGATAAAGAGAGAGATACCTGATGGGTGGCACAGATCGTCGCTGTGGGTGTCGAACCGGGAGAGAAGAGGGAGATGAGAGGGGTCATGGAGTAGAAAAGAGATCCTGAGAGAGAGATAAGGCTGGGGAGTAAAAAAAATCAGTTACGTAAGTGCGAGAAGTTAGGGCATGATTGGGGGAGAAAGGGTGAACTGGGATATGGGAGGTGACTCGGGCGGAAACGAAATTAAAAAAAAAAAAAAAATTTAATTACCAGTTCATTTGAACTAATTTAGAGATGTCAATTTTGAAAACTAAAAGTTTGAGTGGCAAAAAGTTTTCAAGAGCTAATGTGGTACGTATCGAAACAATCTAAGACTTTAATAGCTCGAGAAAATTTGTGATAACGTCGTTCATCGGATGATGCATTTTTTGGTCTCGAAACGATCTCAACCGCTCTTTCCCTAACATTCAAAACTCACTCCACTTTATTATATAGATATACAAAAATCAATTGCATAAATCGATAAAAGCGAGAGAGCAGTGAAAAATCTGACCTCTTCATTGTGGCCTCGAAGATGACTGCGCAATTGACACTCGGTGAAGTCAAAATTTGATTTATCCACACTCTGACCAGAAGAAGAGTTGGATTCACTGGGAGAATCTGGCTGTAGTTGTTATTCTCACCCCAAACAGATTCAACAACCTGATAGGTTTTCAGTGTCAAGGATGGATAATATATCTGGACCACATTTCTGCTATAGCTCATCCTATTCCATCAGCAAATCATTTTAGTAAAGAGTCCTGTTTGACTCACACACAGATACTAAGAGACAGACAAAGAGATTTTTGGAATAGCTTTATAAGACGTAATGTCTTCTTTATTTAAATGCTTTACAAAGGGATCAGTTCCAACATTATTTACATATGTAGGGCATTCCTTCCTTCCCCATGTTTGAAACACACTGGAACATTTTGAGAGGATTTTTAATATACTTCAAAAGAGGGCAGGAGTCCAAAAATGTCGAGTATTTCTTATAAAGAAGCTTATTGCATAGTTGGATGTAAGTAATGCACATACCATCATGTTTAATATAAAATAGTGTGTTCGTTCTAGTAATTTTATGAAATAAAATATCATGGGTAAATGTGTGTACACTTGTGATCGTCTGAGTGAGGTTTATCAGATTGAGAGATCCCAAAAGTGGGTAGGTTGAAGACATACATATTGCTACTGGTTTAACAAAAGGAAAAGAGCAGCAAGAATNTTTTGAAAACTAAAAGTTTGAGTGGCAAAAAGTTTTCAAGAGCTAATGTGGTACGTATCGAAACAATCTAAGACTTTAATAGCTCGAGAAAATTTGTGATAACGTCGTTCATCGGATGATGCATTTTTTGGTCTCGAAACGATCTCAACCGCTCTTTCCCTAACATTCAAAACTCACTCCACTTTATTATATAGATATACAAAAATCAATTGCATAAATCGATAAAAGCGAGAGAGCAGTGAAAAATCTGACCTCTTCATTGTGGCCTCGAAGATGACTGCGCAATTGACACTCGGTGAAGTCAAAATTTGATTTATCCACACTCTGACCAGAAGAAGAGTTGGATTCACTGGGAGAATCTGGCTGTAGTTGTTATTCTCACCCCAAACAGATTCAACAACCTGATAGGTTTTCAGTGTCAAGGATGGATAATATATCTGGACCACATTTCTGCTATAGCTCATCCTATTCCATCAGCAAATCATTTTAGTAAAGAGTCCTGTTTGACTCACACACAGATACTAAGAGACAGACAAAGAGATTTTTGGAATAGCTTTATAAGACGTAATGTCTTCTTTATTTAAATGCTTTACAAAGGGATCAGTTCCAACATTATTTACATATGTAGGGCATTCCTTCCTTCCCCATGTTTGAAACACACTGGAACATTTTGAGAGGATTTTTAATATACTTCAAAAGAGGGCAGGAGTCCAAAAATGTCGAGTATTTCTTATAAAGAAGCTTATTGCATAGTTGGATGTAAGTAATGCACATACCATCATGTTTAATATAAAATAGTGTGTTCGTTCTAGTAATTTTATGAAATAAAATATCATGGGTAAATGTGTGTACACTTGTGATCGTCTGAGTGAGGTTTATCAGATTGAGAGATCCCAAAAGTGGGTAGGTTGAAGACATACATATTGCTACTGGTTTAACAAAAGGAAAAGAGCAGCAAGAATGGAATGGGTTGTAATACTCATAGAACAAACTAAAACAATATGAGCACCTGGAATGTAACGAGTAGCACTATCATAAGGACTTGTTTTCTCTCATGTTTCCCAGAATACTTGGCAAACTAGCCTAACAGGTGCTGGTTAAAAAGAAGAGGACAAAAGTGGGAGAAAACCAAGAATAGATGGGAGACAGAGAGAAAAAAATGGTGTAGAGACCGGGTAAGGGGTGGCATCGACTCACCTAGAGGGGTGATGATGACGCCAATGGGTAGGGAAAGGGGGAATTGGGGAAGCCAACATTGATGAGGAAGGAGGACCGATGGGTGGGGACGGGCTACAAGCCAGAATAGAGGGGATGCCAAAGGGAAGGGGAAGCCAATGGGAGGAGAGAAAGGTGGAGATGACACTTCTCTCACTTCTTATCCCACTGTGTCAGCTGCTGTCTCGTTATATTGCGCGGGGGGGGGGGGGGGGGGGGGGGGGGGTGTTAGAGACTTATCCACAACAACAGCCAACGACTCCTCACAAAGCAGTTACATGAAGACCAGTTCAAATATTTCACAGGATCCTTGATACGTTTGTTTAGATATGTAATTAGCNCCCACCAAATTGCTGAATATATTTTCAAACCTTTTTGCAAATTCTTGAGCTCCTAGTTGATTCTTGATAGGAGGGTCTCTTCCTTTATTTTTGCAGTTCATGTTCATCCTGTAGCCAAAAAATTAAAAACAAGATCAACACTATAAAAGATAACGAAAAAAAAAAAAAAATAGCTATGTGACAGAGACAAGCAGAAAATATTGGGAAGTTAAACTCTAGGTTAACTGTGAACAGAAAATTTTGAACTTCATAAAAAAAATAAAAATGGACAGTGATAAACATCAAGATTACATACAAACCTAGAAGAGGAGGAACTATGAAAAGGAAACAAAACAATGAAATTGCTAAAGACTATGATACAACTTCTTCACCTTTCACATATAATTTTTCAAGTATTAATTTTGGTAGGGAGCAAAAATATTTAACATTTTTCTCTAATAGCAGAATAAATGCTTCTGAAATACCAACGAATGATATACCCTCGCTAAATAATAATGCCAAGTCATTTTGGAAAACAGTTGGTGTGTCAGTTGACATATGTATCAGGATCGGTTGATGGGTATTACTAGTTCCTGATCCCAGAATACATGGTCAAATCAAAACAACAACAATATCCCATTAAATTCAAACCAGTAACAACATTCACAGTTAATGAACCTGAACTGCTTGTCCAGATACAAGCTCTTCCAGTACTGCAGTACATCTGTAGGAACTGAAGCCACTGGCTGTGAGACACCATTAAGTCTCATTACTACAGATTTTAATCCAGTATTATATGAATTGGAGCTAATCCCCGTATCTACTTTGGACGCAGGAATAGATATCAGAAGATCTACCAGTGTGGAACTTGATGATTCGTGGAGCAGCAATGGGCATCACTGCTGTTCAGACTTCATAGCATTCTGTCCTGTTGCAAGTACTTGAAGTCAAGAATACGAGCAGAGCTCGGGAAGTATGTACATTACCATCTCCAAGTGCTTCTCCATCTTCATTTCATAAATTTGCTGAATAGGGGTAAAACCCTGGGCAAAATAGTTAAGGAAAGTATACTCAACCAATTTAGAATAGGTCATTGAAATATGGGGTTTAGTGAACAATGAACAATCGCAACATTTTTAGAAAATAAGGTTTGACTCCCATCTACATAGCTTTGGCAATTGCCAATCAGATCTCTAAGATATATGCATTCAGACGTAAGCACATATATTTTGGTGAGTAACGAAAAATTCCTAGATAAATAAGCACATATATTTTGGTGAGCTTCACATCACTTTCACCCGATAAGATCACTTCTGATGTGTGAAGGTCATTTCATAATCAAAGTAGCTGGAATTCGACAGTTTCAGACCCTTCTACTCTGAATCCACCCATCCACCTCCTCCCAACCAAAAAAAAAAAAAGGATAAGACAAACCAAAACAGTACTAATGAAATAAAATGTTATGGGTCAATTATATAGTACTAATTCAAAGGTGTGATTTACAAGCATGTGCGCGCTTGTCATCATCTAAGTGAAAGTTTATCAATTGACAGATCCCTCAAGCCAATAGGTCAAATACATATGAATACCAGTTTAGCAAAAAGAAAAGAGCAGCAAAAATGGAAATGGCACAATCATAGTAATCAGAGTCCAAACTAAAAGAACATGAGCACAAAGAATATAATTAGTAAAATGTTTACTACTTTAGTTATTTCTCATTTTTATTACTCATCATTTTTCCTTTTTTTTTTTTTTTTTTTTTTGAGTTTTTGGATTTTTTGTCTTGGGCTGCTTGGGGGAGGGGAACATATTTATCGTGTTTTAATGAGAATAGTGTAGCTAGCTATGAAGCGATACTTCGGTAACATTCGGAAAATAGACAACAGAAAGAGGAGTAAGTCTCCAATAAGGACTTCTCTCTTAAGCTTTCCAGAATACTTGACATGCCTCTTCAGGTCATAGCTGAGCATGGAAGTTCCATTGTTAAACTTCTCCACCTCAGTTTGTAAGCGATCATAATTTTCCTGGTGGAAGGATAAACAAGAAATTAAAATGCTACATTATTTAATACTTCAATCTCCTCAAACATCATTCAGTTTTAATTACAATGAATCTCACCAATCCCATCAAAATAAAAATTATAAACAAGCTACTAAACATAACATACAAGAAAGAAAATTGACAAAAAAAAATAATGAAAATTATTTATATGCCAATAAACCCTCTTTGAACATGGCAAGGTATGTTGATGGTTTAGAAAGCCATGATTGAAAGAATTTGAACGATTACTAATAAATTTGTAGTGCTAACAGGTGTTGATTAAGAAGAGGAAAGGACAAAAGTGGGAGAAAACCTAGAAAATATGGGAGACAAATAAAAGAGCATAGAGACCAGGTAAGGGGGCATCGACCTCGACTAGAGGGGGATCACGACGGGAGAGGGGGACTTGGGGAAGCCGACATCATTGAGGAAGGAGGCTTGGTACGTGGGGAAGGGGTGTCAAAACCAGCATAGAGGGGGATGCCAACAGGAAGGGGGTCGACAAGAACGGAGCCGACACTTCTCTCTCTTCTTCTCCCACTATGTCAGCCCCTCCCCTCTCTCTCCTTATTGTCTCCTGCAAGGACCAATCCAGCTCCCCCCCCCCCCCCTCTCCTTTTTGTTTTCTGCAAGCTGGTGGTCAGGTTGCACTTATTAGCATTTGCCTTAATTTCTAGTCCTAGTTTTTAGGCTATCAAAAACTCTCACCTTCCAAATTGCTGAAAATATGCTCAAACCTTTCAGCGAATTCTTGACCTCCTAGCTTATTCTCGATAGGATGGTCCCTTCCTTCATTTTTGTAGTTCACGTTGATCCTGTCCATGCAACCCAAAAAACATGATCAACACTACAAAAAAGTAATGACAAAAAAAAAGAGCAAGATTTAACTATGTGAAAAAAAAAAAAAAAACACACAAGAAGAGAAGATTGAGAAGTTAAACTCTATGTTAACCTGTGAACAACTTTAAAAAAAAATGGGCAGTGATAAGAAATATCTGTCAAAATACTTCAACGCTGCTAAATTTTTCATAGAAAGATGTGCCAAAGAGATTTTCTAAAAACATCAAGGATTACATACAAAATTCCCACAATAGGATGAACTAAGAAATGCGTGAACAAAAAGGTGTGCAAAATAGAATATATGAACTTTTAGGTTCACCATCTTTTGTCGTGGGTGACAACCAAAGAACTTGCTAAAGACCACGATACAATTTCTTCACCTTTCACATGTCATTTCACAAATACTAATTTTGTTTAGGAGCGAAAATAATTAGCATTATTCTTTTAATAGCAGAATAAATGCTTTCAAAATACCAAGAATGCTGGATTGCAGAATAAATGCTTTTCTGACTCACAAATCAAAAAAATATCCAACATACATCAAATAAATACTTAATACCTTCGATAATTATCAAACTTTGTTGCTGTCGTGGTTGGTGAACCGCCTCGCCCACCTGAAAAGGTTAAAAGTAAAATTGGATTACCCAAATAACAATTAAAAAATCAAACCACCACAAGCAACACACAATCCATCAAAAATAGCAAAACTACCGAAAAGTACCTAGTCGACAACAAATTTTTTTTTCTAAGTTCATTATTACTGCATAGAACTAAACACCCCAAGCCTCTTAAACCATAACAAAAGATTCCAACAAAAACAAAGATTACCTAATAGTAGGTAACAAAGATATCTACAAAAGCTCTTTTCTAACTCATAAATTGATAAAATATCACACTTACATTAAATAAATATTTATACCTTAAATAATGTCAGTTCCCAAGTGATTCCAAAGGCCTGAAAAAGAAATAATACATAAATAAATTCAGGTGTATGAAAGTGAATGTTAGAAGTAAATACAACCTAAACGTTAAATGAATTACCCAACTAGGATATCCATGAATGTGTATATTGCTGAGGTACCTCATCATATATCGTCAACTGGTCCCATGAAAATTCTCGAAATCAACTCTATTTTGGTAAAGCCTTACGATACTCAAAGAGATCAACAGGTTCGACTATCTTTAGCTTCGGTTACCTCTTTGATGACATCGGGGATCATGATTGAACATAGAAAAACAGAACAATTAAACATTTTTAATCTTTAGGGCAATTTAACAAACACATGGTGGTCTTGCCGAAACAAACACACGGTGGCAGAGAGCGAGAGCGATAGTGGGGTGTAGAGGGAGAAGAGAGTCGAGAGATACCTAGGTGGGTGTGGCGTGTAGGATTACAATGTTAGTGATGTAAGTCTTGCACGCAAAGGAGGCAAGAATTAGGGCTGTGGTGGAGTGTGCAGTGTTTGGAGAGTTGGGTAGAAGAGAAATAGGGAGAGAGTGGGGTGTCAGCTGAAGAGGGCGAGAATGAGAGAGGAAAAGAGAGAAAGGACAAAGGTACCAAAATTAAGGGTAAGAGTAGCAATGACTCTATTGTATAGTCAATCCATACCAAGTGAAGAATATGAAAAAATGGACATATCAGGAAAAAATGTGGGTCATAAAGATTTCTAGAATATATAATAGGATCATAAGTGAAGTCGAAGTGCACAAATTGGATAAGATAAGTAAAGAAGTGTATAGAATGCATCACAATAGAGGCCGACCCCAAATAGTTGGAAGAAGGCTCAATTGAGTTGAGCTGACATAAATACAGGCATGAAGATTCTCATAAACTATGGTAAACGCAAAAATTGAAAGAAAAAGAAAACCCAACTAGTTATACATAATTAAATGTATACATGTGTAGGTGTACATGTCACATTATGGGTAATTTTCATTCATCACGACATGAAAGCTGTAATAAAAACAATAAACACCAAAGTACAAACATGTTAGTCCATATTAATCCCCCCAGGGGTTGTGGCTAAAAGCCTAAAAGGATATATCACCATTAATAATGTCAACTCATTATCAGGGACGGACAATATGCAAAAGTTATGCATGATCGCAAATCAAATGGACTTCGGAGAATGCACAAACTTCATTAAGTGCATTATACAGAATTATTCATATTAGACAATGGAACAGAAAAATGGCCCAGAGACAACACAGAAAGAGAAAGAGAAAGAGAGAGAGTTGAAGATTTAAACTCCTAACCTCAAAACGATCAATGAAAAATCCAAGTCACAGCCTACGAACCATAATCTGTTCAACAGGATCTTTTTTGGGCAGCGCTTCTGGCTCCCCAGGTGCAAGATGAGACCTTAATTTTGCAGGTCCAGAATACCTTACTTCAGATGCAAAAAGTCCTCGTTTGGTATCATTTGTCCACAACCATGCATCAACAAGTTCAGCAGGTACAAGAGAACCCAATGGAGGAGCAGCCGAAACTAACATGTCCAAATAAACACACTGGTCTCCATTGCATCAGGCATGGAAATGTAAGCCGGACACCAGCAGAGCAGTCGTAGAAGTTGTGAGAAGCTCTCCACATTTGACTTCGAATCTGAACCCTGGGAAAATTTATCCCATGATGCTCAATAAAACCAAAAAAAGGAAATAGAATCATTTTTCTAATACTAACAAAACACAGGCATGAAAGATAAGATTTTCGATTACCAAATTCGAGAGAAGTAATGCAGTCGTTTGGGAACAAGTTTCACAAAATGGTGACTTGTCCACTTCCCCACCCTTCTCTGCAATGTTAACAAACTTTTGTAGCAGATGCACAAACCTAGTAAGTAATATCTCATTAAATGAATCATTTTTGGACTGTGGCTGTTGAGGAGACACTCCCGATCCCAAAGTTGGCACATCAAGATGAAGCTCAGAACCCATCAGTAGTGGGTTAGGATCAATTCCACCAATGCTCTCATATAACCTCCTCAAGCCAGAAATGTCCCCAGCATGGTTACACTTTACCATTGCACTATCAAAACTGGTACTAAGCACCTCCAAGTTGAATGCCTCTGTCAACTTCAAGTTCGCTCCTGACGCAGCCATAACTGCAGGGATATTAGCAGTCTTTGTGCCAGTCTAACAATCATTTTTACCTGTACCAATCCATATCTCGGATAAAAGAGAAAACACGTTGGTTCTGGGTGGCACTCTTTGCCAATTGTTTGCCTCGCAAAGCTTCAACTGAAGTATGAAATACCAGACAAGAAATCCAGAGATGCAATTCCATCAGCGCATGAATGGAATATCAAAGTGAAAGAGAAAGATTAGCTATTGAAATCAGAGGGATTAATCTGTGAAGACCATCTTATGTACAATATATTAGAGGCACTAAACCATGGTTCAAAGTATCGGCCGATATCGATACGAGTTGGCCGAGTCGTATCCATCTCGGTATCTTCCAAGACGATACCGTTATACGATACGTATAAACCCCGAGTCTCGCACAACTCAGCTGAGTTGTCTAAGTTGTATCTATGTTAATCCCGAGCCGCTGAAATATCGCCATCGAATTGGCCGATATGGTTTTACGACGCCGTGATATGACCTGAATTTCTTGTCAAGTTCAATATTTTCTTTTAAATCGTATCGCCCGATACCGCGCTGCGACCGATGTGTCTTCAAGCTCTTCGAGTTGATGGCCGATAACCCGACCTTAAACCATGCACTAAACATGACCGTATGAGGCCCATGCGACATCATTCGAGAATTAAAGGGCACCAAATGAAAATCGTCAACATATTACAACGCAAGCAGATTAAGAGTTGCAGAGAAGCATGCGAAAATTACTTCTATAAAGTTTCAAAACCACATATCTAAATTTTTATATCAAGACATTAATCCTTCTAAACAAACCATGAGAAATAATTATGAATCATCGTCCACCAATTAAATCACTGTTGGAAAAAGAAAATATACACAAATGTTATATTTTTCAAGTCAAACAAGAAGCATAGATCTCAGAATGAGAAATGGTAGATAAATTACCCAACAATCACAGGCATAAAATGCTAATCTTCAAAACAATCAAAAGGCCTCATGATGACTTCCAATTATAAGAGAAAATAAACCTGGAGAAGACCTTGACTAGTGCATGAAGCATATGAAAGTGAAATAATGATCCATTCCTGAAAAATTCTTTGGTAAAAAGAGCAAACTGTAGCAACCCAAGCAGGATCGTTGATGAAAGCTGAAGGAGGATAATTATACACTAAAAATAGCAGGGAGTCCAGACAAGAGGAATTCCACGAGATCTGAAAGCATGTAAAACATTCATTAAGGTGCACTTCAATATCAAGGAACAAGAAACAAAATTGAATGTAGAAAAGAAGTAAAAAGAAGAAGATCGAAAGATGAGGTAGATCGTGAATATAATAAACTTTTACTGTGGAAACTTATCTCTGAGTTGAGTTCAAATGTTCATTGAGACATCTTATAAGTGCTCCTCCCTCATCAACAAGCTTTATATGAGAAAACAGGTATGGACAGACAGGGTAGACTCTAATCTCAGCTTCATTTCCAGTCTCTGACATCCGATCCTCCTGCACCCAGTTGTGAGGATAAGTAACGTGCACATACCAAATTTACAAAGAAAATATTAGCAAACTGATATTGTTACAGGAGGAAAAAGAAGATTATATAAGTAAATTCTCTAATTTCATCCACCCAACCAATTAGCTGATAAGTAAATCCTTTGCAGATTCCCATCCTTTTAACAGAGGCATCCAAGAAGCCTCGCCCAGTTTCAAGAGAAAAGAAAATCAGTCTGGATGGATAATTTTTCCTACAGTACCACCAATAGAAACTCAACTACAAATTACTAGGTTGGCAAATATCAATGGCAGCTACATAGCCAACACCCATAGAATGATAGGAGGAAGTTACTCGATGAAGGACAAGGTCAAAAAGACTCTCCTAAATGTTTTCTGTTGAAACTGATTCAAAATAGTAACTAACTCGTAAAATAGCGTGTTCTAAAATAGATTGTGTGATGAACTTTACAGAAAGCTTGTCAAATTTGAGGTCTACATATGCAAGAAAGATGCTGATTTTTTGCTGGTTAGAAATTCAGAAAAATTTTACTGAAATTCCTGAGAGCAATTCCAGAGGGTGGTTTTGGCAGTATGACAAAGGCTCGTACGGTAGGGTTTGGTCAGGGTATAGCAGTAGGATTTTCAGGCTGAAACACAAAAGGTACTAATGGTGCTCTACAGCTATCACAACATAGGCAGCCATGCTTGTTAAAATTTATTTTTCACAGGTTTTAATATGAAGGGCTGAATACTTGATGGAAGCCTCAATGATTTATCAAAATAGGATTTTCAGTTGGGATGGAAAGATTACAATGGTCAAGTAGAAGTTTATACAAGTGATGAATACTAAGAAGAAGAAGAATCTCAATATGACTCCTACAATTCCTTAGGCATCAAAACCCAGGGTTCATATTGCATCACATAATTGCAAGGGAGCTACAGCCTTCAAAAGCTTCCAAAAATTACCTAATTGGTATGTGCTTAACTGAGACTGCATAGACAAATTTTGGCTGCATGTTTGTTAAGTACAGACTGCAAGTTTTTCACCTTCTCCAACAAAATTTTAGGCCCTAAGATTAGAAAATTACAGTATCTGACACACAAAACCCAGAAGACCTCAAGCCCATAATGTAGGATCCATAACATAGGTTTACCACAAATACTGCTTGACAGATAAACAAGGCAAAATGTAAAATCAGACAACATCATATGAAAAATATAAGAGAACACATAATGGGATAAACACACAAAAGATGAGGATTGTTATTGTGTCATAAAGATCAACTTCCATGCAAGGTGCACCACCAATGCCATGAACAATATTCTCCAAAGAAAATATTTTCCAAACAGAGAAATTAACAATAAGAAAATAGCATTGATCAACAAGCCTAATAAGAGAAGAAGAATACCAGCCATAGCAATGCTGTTTCAAAAGCATGGTGGACAATTGCTGTCAAGCACTGAAGCACATCCGGTATAAGATTTGGACTTTTCAAGTATTCAAAGACACAGCTGAAAGCACTTCTAGAAGCAATTGAACTAGGGCTACCATTGAGGATGCCGCCATTACTGCTGAAGCGTATTATTTCTAAAAAGGTAACCGCAAGGAGATATGTTGCCTTGACACCTGTAGAAGTCAGAAAGATGGCAACATTTCAACACTATATGTATAAACTACAACCTCTAATCAAGAGGATTTTATAAGCAGGGAAGACTACCAAGCACAGTGATAAACCCACCTAATTTGATCAGTATTTGATGCCAGCAAGTACTGGCTTGCAAAACAATCACAAAACATAGAGAATTCATATCTGTTTCACCACTAAATATTACGGAGACGACTATACCAGATATTGTGCTCATTGCTGCAACCTCAACTCGCCCTCCTAAAGCAGCAGAAAGAGCAGCTCTTTGGCTTACAGCAGCTTTCTCATTGCCACTCCCTCGGCGACTACCAGGGTTATAAAAAGCATTAAGTTCAAACTCATCTTCAAGCCACTTTCACAGAACTAACAACCTAGAGAAAAGCATGTTGCCTCAAAGCTTCAAGTTCATATTTACTAACACAAAGACAAGGCACCATTTTAATGATGAAACAGACTAATAACAGTATGACCATCTCCAATCATTCCACATAAAAGTAGCCAGGACATTATTAGAGGCAGATGTGTTCGTGTCAGATGAGACATTATTCTGTACTCTTGGAAACGTGCAAGACATGCCACAAAAATGTTCCATTATGAGGTAAAGAAAAGAGAAGGCAAAAGATATGATTGCATCGCCCACAGAAGTCAAGCAGGTAACAGACACTGAAAAAAAAAAAAAAAAAAAAATTATACAGCAGTATCTTGCAACTAACATATACGATAACAGACAGATAGTATCAGCGACGTTAATAGATTCAAAATATTACTTCACTTGCTTCATCATCCAATGAATGTTATAACTTATAACAACATAGAAGTTCAGATATATTAATCAGCATCACACGGTTGTCCTCTATGTATGCAGTGATGTGAGTCCTCTAAGTATAGCAGTAACTTTAGTGTATAGATGTTTATTGTCGCATCTGCACCATGTCTCTGTCTCACTTTCCAATATGAGCCACCACTGTAGGTAGCCAAACTAAATACAAAGATAGCAAAACAGACCTCTGCCATGTTGGCTAGATAGAGACATTGCAAAAAAAACTGGAACAACCAAACCACCAACAGAGCTAGATTTTTATAATGATGTTTCAAAATACACGCTCGCATATGGGTACAGATCAGACAAAATCTGACAACATTTATCTCCAAAACTACAATTTAGCCACAATCCTTACACATGAAAAAAACAACTGATAAAATTAATGACACAGATACATGCAATAGATATGCATCGCTGCAATGTAAAGGTCATATTAGATTTTTGAGATGTGAATCAAATTTGACTTTTTTTATCAGCATTAAAAAAATGACAAAATTGAACTCCAGAAGCAGCAATAAATTGCTCAAATTCCTACATATGAACAAGACATCCATAAAAAGAGTTAACAGAATTTAGCTAAACCTCGGAGCAAAATATAAGGAGATATTGATGATTAAGGTAAATGGAGAACAGAATTAGGGAAGATTTTTTATTGATGATCGACTTACAAGTGGTGGGGTCCCTTGATAAATACGCTGAACAGCAGAAGACCATTGAGAATTCCACATGTATGGTCCACCAACAGCTTGAAGAGCAATTGCACCCATGCTCCCCACCCTGTTCAGATTATGGGAAACTGAATTTATCGGAGGGAGAGTTTTCTGTATTGGAAGTGCTAACCCAAAGACAGTGACATAGAACCACAAATTGTGAAATAACTTCAAAAGTGCAGGTTCCACATCTACAGTAGGATCAAAATCTGAACATATTTCAGCCACAGCAGGAAGTAGAGATCCTAGAAAATCTGCTCCACTCCTACAAATTTCCAGGTTTCTTCAGTTATAAAAGCTCTGTACACATGAGGAACAACGATGAAATTCATTCGAAGGGAGCACAATTTATATGAGGATAACTCCACAAGATGAATCGTATTAAATCAAACCATGACATGACATCAGCCAATACTAGTGGAGTCCTACCTTCACTTTTAGACTCTGCAGCCAAGCCTACATCTGAGCACAAAGATAGTAAATGATGACGATAGTCGGACCTCAATGTAATAATGGTAAGACCACTAGCAATCAGATGGAATCCTGCAGAAGAGTCTATAAATGTGATTGAACCGGTGAGCAACCATTTGGTACAATGAAGTTCTTAATATCACATTCAATTCACATTTGAGAGCTAGAACTTACCTCAACACGTTCAGGCTTCTGGTGCCAGGGTTTTTCTTTTAGCAGATCCAACACTGGAGAGCTTACTCAGGGAGCTTCGTGTTGATTACAAAAGGTAATTTAATAAAAGAGAGCAATAATTTAGGGGACGACTGAAAAACAAGAGAGTCAATCGAAACCACTAAATAGAATCAAGCAATATGATGCATGATGCTATTCATAGACCTTCCATCCATGTCGACCCTAAAACACTCACTTCCAGAAAGCTATCAATGATTGACATAAATAATTTTACACTTGTTCACTAGGGAAAAAGGGTACTAACCTTTCAGACAAAAGACAAGAACTTGCGTATACTCTCACAAATCACAGAACTCTCAACCAGACTAAACTTCCCACCTTCAAAAAGATAAATCAAGTAAATCCATCCACCAAAGAAAGTACGTAAACAAACTTTTTGAAGGCACCGCTAACTGAACAGGAAGTGGTAAATGGCAAGTAAGCTTAATCTACCATCAGCTAGCTAATTAAGTAACATATGCACATGAATTTGTATTGAAGATCAACCCAGACATGTGAAAAATTGAAGTAATAACACTTTAAGAAAAGGGAGCAATGATATAAGCATATGCAAAAGCAACAATAGTCCTCCAACTTCGATATATTACAATTGATCACCTCACCATAGAAAAGGATACACGCAATGAGTATGATCCAACTTCGATATATTACAATTGATCACCTCGCCATAGAAAAGGATACAATGCGTATGATCCTTCCATTTGCATCCATGCATACACACAGATGCATGCACAAAACATGAGTTTATATGCACGTACGCACATTATTTCTTGGCTTCGTGTCATGTGTTTGCCATTGGATAAGTCTACAAACAGAAGCATAACGCTAACCTCTTCTTCATAATCATTCCGTTCACGAATACTTGTAGCTAATCCCATTATAAAAATGTCCACAGGGGACCGGCCCTTGCTCCATCCGAACTCGATTATCTCACAACATGTCTTCAAAACACTCTCGAACATGGCATCCTGGCTGCTGCCCCAAGTGTCTGCCCGTTTGAAAAAATATATATATTACAATGAAAGTATACCCAAAGCAAACAGATGATGTATCAGAGCACAAGTACTTAACACAAGGGGTTTGAAGCAAATGAGCAAGACACGTAGCAGCTGACCACCACGAGTGAGAGTAATTTGGGAAATCCCAACAAGCAATGAGCGGAAGAGCTCTTCACAAATTCTCAACTTTTGCAAAACAGAGAATAAACATGCTTCAGTAGCTTCTATCAACAATGCCAAAGTTCCATGCAACAACCTCTTCGATGACTTCCCATCCAAATCAACAGATTAAAGACTCTTGATTTGTAACCTGGCTGCAGCTTGGTAAACCGCCAGCTTTGTATCGATTCTAACTTTCAGTAACTGCCCCTGTTCTGTCCAGTCACGCTTCCTTGTGTGCCAACAAAACCAAACATTTTAACCAGCTTTTTCATTCATCTATATAGTTTTTTCATTAAGACATCAATAAAACACGAAACCAAAAGGGTCAATACCCATGAATTTACCTTTAGAAAACCAACATTGATTGGAGTTGCTCCTTTGCGATGGCCCTCACTTGTTCCAAAAGTTTAGGATCAATCTGGACTTCATCCAATATGTGCTCAATCAGCTTGAAAGCAATCTCCTATTGTTGAAGGCTCCCCCTCAAAAGAGGCTACCACTCTGCTTGTACTTCGCGGAACTGCCTCCTCCGTCATTGAACCCAGCACCAGCACCAAATATATCCACATTACTCTTCCACGCAAAGCTGCCCCCATTCATCCCCAATCCTTTGGACGACGATGCACTGTTCGCCTCATCTGTAACCCTTGAAGCCTCACCGCTCGAAGAACCAGAGGCATTGCTGACCTCGTTTCCTGGACAGGTTCTCTCATTTGATTGAAAATGGTTTGCACTGCGCTGCGAACTCTGAGACGATGACGCTTCAGGTTATCGAAACTAGCTCCCTCGGTGGTGAACTAGGAACCGATATTTCAAATCGTTCTAGAAGAGTGGACACTAATTTGTCTGCATCGTAAGGAAGAATTGGACGAAAATTCTGCGACAGAGCATTCAAAAAAACCTTGATACCCCAAATCTCCACTGACATTGTTAATCGCTTACATCACAATCTCTCCCATATACTCCGCAACGGCCATGGCAAAATCCGAGGACAACTCACTGTCTTTATTCACATAACTCAAGAAATCATTAAAGAACGAAGCGATTGAATCGCTTCCAAATGACTGTGGCCAAAAAAGATTGGGCGAAAGAATACAGAATCGACCTAAAAAACCCTAGGACTGCTGGTTTGGGGTTCAGGTCGTCGAAATTGGGGCTACCGGTGGCGAGTACTGCATTAAGCTGTGACCTCGAACCCTCAAAGATCCAGCCGGAACAGAGTCAATTGGTGGACATCGGCCACAAATCCAAGCCAATTTATCAGCAAACTGCGAAGGATTTTGTGCGATCAGATCCCAGAGTTCGATCAACGACTCCATTGCTTTACAATGCTGAACCCTTTCGGAGATAGGAGATAGAAATCAAACAAACGGAGGTGAGGAATTGGTCTGGTGGTGGAAAAGATCGTAGGCGGAGGTTTGTATATCGGAACTCCGGAGGTTCGATGCCTTCCCGCTGTTCTTCTTTTTGTGTTTCTGATTTTATATAGGGTAATGTCGTTGGCTGTCTCTCTCGCGCGAGATCTTTGATCTTAACGTCTTTCTGATTTTGTTTCCTTTTTGGTTGGCCTTTCAATTATTCGCCCGAATTGGAAACTAATGATACTTTACCTTCAAGTTTTCTCTCAATTAACCGTTTGATTCAATTTTTGGTAGGGGGGAATTATACTTAAATTTTTTAATTACTCGTACTTTCGGACATTTAAAATATTATATACAAATCCTTTAAATTTTAAAATTACATCTAAACCTCTTAAAGTTTTATAGGCATTACTGATAATACTTACGCCCTCCAAATTTAAAATAGAGTTAATTGCATTAGAGATTCCCAAAATATGAGATTTATTTTATTTTGAACCATAATGTTTCAATCGTATCATTTTAGTCCCTAAAATATTGAATATGATTTTATATGATTTTTCAAGCAGGCAACGTTCACATTACTAACATTTTTTTATCATAAACTTGTCACGTAATATTTAAATATGGATAAAAAAATAATGTTGATAACTCTTAAATAAAATTTAGGTAGCACTCGATAAAAAGGTGTAATATAAGTAGCTTTTGACCAAAATTTTGGTAGCTCGTGATCAAAATTGTGTAATTTTGCAGTTATTAATCAAAATTTTAGTAGAAATTCAGTTAAGAATTATTCAAATAATTTTTTTGTCCATATTTAAATATCATGTGATCAATTTATGATAAAAAATCGTTAGCAATTTGGATACTGTTTGCTTGAAAGATTTTACAGAAACACATTCGTTACTTTATGGACCAAAATGATGCAATTAAAATATTAGAGACTAAAATAAACTAAACTTCATACTTTAAGGACCTCTAATACAATTAACCCTTTAAAATATTATATTTAGATAAAAAAATACTCTAATTATAAATAAAATATCAAATATTTTAAATTTTATAAATATAATATTTATTAAAATAAAAAACTTATTTTTTCTTAAAAAATTATAATTTATATACAATTATACTACATCACCTTCTGGCACGAAAGAAATTGTATACGGTAAGTCTTGTCAAGTAATTATGTTTTAACAAAGTGTCTTCCTCTGTATTGATCCTAGAAATAATTGTGCTGCCGGATTTTTCGAGTTGAACATGTCAGCAAGCGGTGAACCGTGGGAATTAACACATGCAATTCTGTCATTTTGTTTTACTTAGGGTTTATTTGGTGACATTTTTATTTTTATATTTTTTTTTATAAAGAAAACAGAGCTATGTTTTGTTTTGTTTTGCGATAAAAATATAAAATATGTTTGATAGTCATTTTTGTAAAAACAAAAATAAAAAATTTATTTAATATTATACCAAAAATTCACCACCCAAACCTCACCACCTAACCCCACTAACCACCCAAAACCACCACCCAAGCCCAACCCCACCACCAAAACCCACGACCCACCCCCACCATTGAAAACCACCACCACAACCACCCAAAATCACCACCCAACCCCACTAACCACCCAAAACTACCATCGAAACTCTCAAACCCTGAAAACCCACGTTGAAACCCCCCATTGCCAAAAACCCACGCTAAAACCCTACACCCTTAAAAACCCACTCCCACCCTCGAAATCCATCATCCACCTACATATACAGACAGATATATACATAGATCTAAGGCTTAGAGTATAGATCTAGGGCTTTGAGGTATAGAGAGTTCGATGAAGATGGAGTGAAATTTGACCTTGGAGATAGAGTAATGGCTTCTGGATCCTTTGCAGCGATTGGCAATGGCTTCAGCTTTGTCTTTTGTCTTTGGCATTGAAAGAGAGAGAGAGACAACTGAGAGGGGCGATGACGATGGCTTCGTCTTCTTCTTTAGTATTGAGAGAGAGATAGGCTTTTATACTCAAGCAAAAAAATTCATATTTTGTTGTTAAGGGGGATCGAAGTCAAGACCTCATTAAATCCCTTTCAGACTCGCACATTTGTGTTTTTTTTTTTTGATGTTTTCAAAAACATTATTTTGGATGTTTGCATATTTTAGTCTTGTTTTCAAAACAGAGCAATTAAAAAAAACAAAACACATTCACTAAACATGTTTTTATTTTATTTTTACCATAAAATGAAAAAAAAAACAAAAACATGAGGTTGCCGGACACTACTTTAGCCTTTTCTGCAGTTTATTCACTATTAAAGGTGGTGACTTCCACATTATGCATTGGCAAGAAAATAGGAACAGATGCTTAAGCCATTAGGTGAAAGCTCCCACTAGAGAAAGTGAGTGATTTTAGATTTTTTATAATTGGTAAGTACTCTTCTTGTATTCTTTCTTTTGTAAATTAAACTAATGCTCGTCGTGGAAGCTTGAAACTCATTCTTGGAATTAATAATAACATCCCCACTCCAACCCTTAAATCCTTTCATAAGTTTAAGTTTTAGTAAAAATAGGGTTTAAAACCAGTTTTAGTCCCTTATTCAATCTCATACCGCATAAAGGGAAACTATTATAAATTATAAAGGGTATATTTTGGTATAAGTAAGGGGGAAAGCAACATTCCTTAAAAAGTTGTCATGCATACAAAATGTTAGATAACTTAATGACAATCTTAGCAAGGGGAACATGTTTGTTAACAAGAACTTCAATTATCAGAACATATTTCACTAATAAATTTCTTTATGCCACTAATAAATTTCTTTATGCATAGAGAATTTGTGAGTGCGTGCATTGACGACACCAATTGCTTTAGTTCTTGAATCATAGCATGTATCCAATCTCCTTCTTTAATGACATCTTCATGCAACTCATCGTTAAAGTTACATGGAGTTGGAGTTCGTCGCTTGCTAATCTTAATGACAACTTCATCATCACACAAATCAGGTTATTTTGTTTGGAGGGAGATCAAAGGGATCCCATTTTTCAGGCGGGCACGAAGTCATAGCTTGCCCCATTGCGAAAATGTGTACAAAGTCTCTCCTTCCTTCCCTCCCTTCCCCTTGGCAAGGATGCTTGGCCCTATTGTGGAGTAAGCCGCTGCACACTAGCGCGCCATATATTAGTAAGGGCTTTTCAACTGGGTTATGGTGTTAGAGTCGTGCTAATGCCACAGGAATGAACCTGAGTGTGTATAAGGACAATTACCCAGCCGGAATTAGAATTTGGATAAGGTTGAATCTACAGGTAGATTTGGGATTTACTTAACTTTCCGATTCTTCCTCATTCTATATGCTAATTCTGATAACAATAAATATCCCATATATATTGAGATGCGTAGCCTGTGCAAGTCAAGCGAGACTGCGAATCAAAGTGGGTGGGTGCTTGTCAAAGGATTTATTGAAAGACGGTGCCCAACCGGCCGAGATAAGCTTAGGGACGAAGGAAGGTAAAAGCCGGCCTAGCTACATCTTCAGCATGTCGAAACACTAAATCTAAGAATCAGATGAGAAGTGGGGCCAAGCATCTTCCTCTCAACAGTGCAATGCCGATTGATAAGGAAGACCGCTCAATTAGTAACCTTAGATCGATCGGTAAGCTTGGAATCCTTAAATCATTTCATAAGTTTAAGTTTGAGTAAAAACAGGGGTTAAAACCAGTTTCAGTCCCTTATTCAAACTCATACCACATGAAAGGAAAATTTTAATTTTTACTCAAATTGAAAGAGACTTAAATCTCTACTCAAATCTTCAATGGTTATTTTTCACAATTCTTTAAAGATTCAATGGCCACATTTTGTCTTTCCTTTAAATTTGAGTTTTTTCAGTTGAGTGTTTTGTGTCGAATCAATGTTTTACCCAAATGTTGCCTTAAATTTGATTGAAAATATGAGTCTAAGACTGGAAATGGCCTAGGCAGAATGTAATTAGTTAGTACATTGTTATCATGTCTAATCTGAAACTTTTAAAACCCAACTTCCTCCCTCTACCAAGAAAAATAATGAAAAAAAAAACAGAGAAGAAAAAGGAAAATCAGGATTATTCATGTAAAATCCCAAACAAATTATGAAATTGTTGGAAATACCGGAAACTTTCACCATGCCAAGGAATGACTGCAAACAAGGAGTGGGAACCCTCCTGGATCACCTCTAGTTGTAGTTGTCATACATGCCATTGGATTAACATCCCTTACCTTTGTACTTATTAACAGTGGAGTTCAATTCAAGTGCCTGTTACAATTGAAAATAATGGAGAGATTTTATATGTGTGACTGCTCCTATTTTTTCAGCCTATCATTATCTACAAAAACAGTTGTGTGTGAAAGATTCGTAAAGAAGTGCAAGCTCTGATCTTCAGCCTTGATACAAGCATCCTCATGGCCCCATTAAGTAGTTATTTCTATAGCAGCCCTAATACAAGCTGGCTTGATAAGAGCTTCATAGACTATGAAGTGACAAAGATGCGTGGACTATTGGACATTAACGCGGCGAAGCAATCTGTTTCTCACCAATGACTATTCAACTCTGCAATCTCATGTTTAGACGTGATTGTGGTCTCGAGTATGAGGCAACGAATGATTTGAAAAATTAAAAAATTGAGTTCCATAAGTTTTATGAAAAATATTGATGATAAATGTGGTGTTAGAGCAACTCAAAAGGAAGTTGTTATTTTGGGGTGTCAAATCATTCATTTGCAATTTTGAGCATTCATTTACAATCTTGAGCAGTGTTTTGACATCTCTGAATTATAAATTTGTTCTAATGACAAGTGCTAAAATGGGGTATCATTTTCATATTTTTATTTATCAATCTATATGAATCGTTGAATCTATATTCATCTAACAGATCTATATTCATCAACCCATTTGAAACATCTCCCTTTCTCTCTCCAGAGTTGCTAAAAATGTCACTCTAAGAGCCTTGATGCTATTTTTCAACCCTTGATACCACCTTCATTGGAATGAAAATTTTTAAATTTGGGGTGGCATATGGAGGTGCCACCCTTGATGCAACTCTCCCTTGAAATTGCTCTTATTTCATGTTTTTGCGGATGATTTTTTTTTAATTGTATATTGTGTTGTAAATTTTACTTAATCTCAAAACTCATATTTACCTCT